TTAATCTTTTCTTTATTCAATAATTTTTTTTTTTTGGAGAATGTTTTTTGTATGAAAAATATAAATTTGTTAAAAATTATCTATAGACCCTTAGGAGTCACTGTAGGACCTTGCGCATTTGAAATAGATCCATTCAGTAAGTGACTGCCCCTCCGCTCCCGCAGCCATACATAAAACTGGTATTTATTCGCCCTTTACAATTACACTGGAAGTACGCTTTAGCGAAACAGTAAGCACTGCATTCGAATCACACCACCGCCATTCACTACCAGCAGCAGCAACACCGTTAAGTGAATGTATATAAGTAAGAATGGAATGTGTGGCAAGTACATGTGTACTCGTACATACATACGTTTGTATGCACTAACAATGCATTTGTCACTAAGGCTGCAATTTACAACATTTACAATTGCACAACAGCCAAATGGCAACGCGACTTCGCCTTCATTGTTTGCCTTACAGCGTCGCTGACACTAAATAATGCATCATACCCCACCACCATCGCAGTCTTCACGCGTATAGTCGCGTATAGGGCAATAGATAAAATTGTAAAAGCCATAGTTTGCAAGTTGCAATAGCAAAAATTTATATGTAAATCAACAATGTGATTGGCGCAGCAGTTTACGACAATTGCCGTCATTCATGCCGAAACTTATGTACATACATATGCAAGTACATATACGAGTACAGAGATATGTATCTACTAAGTTACATTAGATTTCTTTGTCTATATGGACATAGGCAATGCCATTGGCAGCGCCTAAGCCAACAACGTCACCGCGAAAAAGCCAAAAATCTATGTTTGTTAGTCTGCAGTAATTCTAAAAGAGCGTATGAACAAAGCCACTGCTGGTTTTCCAATGCGGGAACATCTAAATTTACCGCAAACAAGGAAACTATCACTTAACTTTGGCTGACGACCAGCAAATACATATTTACGTCCACTTATATCAGGGTATGTATGCATGTGTGTGTCTGGATATGTTACGTTACTGAACTTTGTTTAAGAATGAGTGAATTTTTATAGTAGTGGTATTAAAGACAGAATTTAAGAATATATAACAATAATGCATAAAATAAAATAAAATAAAATAAAATAAAATAAAATAAAATAAAATAAAATAAAATAAAATAAAATAAAATAAAATAAAATAAAATAAAATAATATAAAATAAAATATTATAATATAAAATAAAATTAAATAAAACAAAATGAAAAAAATTAAAAAAAAAAATGAAAGAATAAAATTAAACTGAATTGAAGTAAAATAAAAATGTTGAAGAGCTTTCTTGTACATCTCTTGAAAAATGAGCCAAAGCTTTGAAAAAAACTTTGATCGGCAATGCTAAATTTAAAACTAAAAAAGCTTTCTTATTTTTTAAGTATTTTTAAGGTTAAAATTCTTTCCGAAATTAATTTGCTTAATTATACAAAATTATAAAATTTTTGAGCAAATAACAAGCTTCGATAACTTTGAATAAGCTTCCATAAAAAAGCTAAAATTTCTAAAAACTATCGGAAATATTAAATTTTTTTTGTGTATCTCTCTGCTACAGAAAAAGCACACAAAATCGAGAGAAAAATTCCGAGATATAAGCTTTCTTTAAACCAATTTTCATAGCTTTTATGGGCCAAAGTAAAAAAAAAATTCAAACAACTCAGGTGTCCAATTGCTTCCAAATAAATATTTCTACAATGGAGTTTCTCAACGCTTTCATATTGATAAAAAAAAAATTTAAATCCAAGGATCACTGAAAGCTTATTTTTGTTTCAAAGAAATTCAATCTATGAAAGGCTTCTGTGGTTGATTCCTAAAAAAAACAATCGGAGCTAACAAAAAGCTCTGCATAATAATAAGAAGTTTCACAGATTTATACCATCGAGAAAGCTTTCCGAGCTTTCGGAGTTTCATCTATTTAACAAAAAAAAAAAACACTAGCTTTTCAGTGTGGGCATGACGCTAGGAAACAGTAATTAGGCGAGATTTTTTCTTCAACGCTTTTGAATGTAAATATTATTATAATTCATTATAACTAGATACAAAATAACTGTAATCATGCTGTAATCGCAAACACAGTAGTAAACAACTTTATCGCAAATTATAAAGAAATGCGATTTTTTTTTTCAATAAATAAATGAAAACGCCAGCTGTTTTCAAAGTAAATAAGCTAGCTATATGAATAGTAAACTTTAAATTTATATGCATACTTAAATTTAATAAAAAAAAACTTTACGTCAATGGAAAGGTTTTAGTTAGCAGAGTTTTTTAATTAAAAATATCCTAATTTTTTTTTAATGAACGTCAGCAAAGACTTAATTAATTTAATATCTTGACTCATCATCAACAAAAGGAATACTTCTAGAAAATTACTGCGCTAGACAAGAAATAATCTTAGATAAATACAATAAAATGAAAAAAGTGATTTATTTGGCTTTCACGCACTCTTCAAGATTCATATATGTATGTGCATATGTATAATTTTTAATATTTTTTTTTAATTTCTAATAAAACTTAGTTTCTTTCATGCAAATTACGCAAACAACGCCCAATCTTATCAAGCCTATCATTTGTAAGTAGTAGATTATGCTTTAGAACTAGACTGATGGAGACAAATGAACTGGAAAAATATGCCCGCCATAGATGCAAATAATCAGTAGGTAATTATTTCAAGGGTACTGATAGCAAATATTAAAAGACCGCAATGAATTTCCACTTAAAGTTAACATATTTTGATAATTTCTATATATTAAACAAAAATTATTTAGAATTTAGGTTTGAAGTTTAATTGGCTTTTCATATCAAAAGATTAATAGGAATCAAAAAAAAAATAAAAATAGAAATTAAATACAAGTGAGCGAAAACTTTTTAGCAAATTTTATTTAGGTGCATAAAATTAAAAAAAAATTAACATTTAAAAAAAAAAATTAAATAATTTAAAAAACTAAAAACATTTAAAAAAAAATTTAAAAAAAATTAAATAATTTAAAAAAATAAAAACAATTAAAAAAATTTAAAAAAAAAATTAAATAATTTAAAAACTAAAAACATTTTAAAAAAATTAAATAATTTAAGAAACTAAAAACATTTGAAAAAAAAATAAAAACATTAAAAAAAACTTGAAAATGTAAGAAAAAATAAAAACATTTAAAAAAATTAAAAACATTTAAAAAAATAAAAAACTTAAAAAATACATACTATATATGTAAATATTGATTAGCACAAGTTTCTTATACATTTTTTAATATTTTATTCTTTTTAAAAATATTTGGCATACTTTGAGATGATTTCTTTGCATGCGAATGATTTTTAAGATACATATTTTTATTTTTATCCGAAAATACAAAACACAATGAGTCACTCCAAGATACTCTAAACATTAACAAAAAAATTTATTTGAACGAAAATAATATTATATTCAAGGCATCTGCACGTCATTTGCAATTAAAAAAAAATTGCAGTAGGAAAAAATACGTAAATAAAAATAAAAAATAAAAATATTTAAATAAAACATTTTTTGACATTTTAAAAATTCCCTTAATGACGCTGAAAACAGTTTTAGAAAAAAAATTAAGACATTCATGATTGCACGCTTTAGGATTTTGCTCTATTTTTTGTTGCAAGCTTTTTTTAACTTTTCATAGAATTTGATTTTATAGAATTTCTATGCTTATGCATATATGTATGTATAAGTACTTATGTATGCATATGTATACACATATGTAAAAATTTCAACAATCGCACGGATGACTATGAAGCTACCACTCGTTAAGTGTTCGCATGCATGCGAAATAAATAATCAGTTTAAGAGAGAATAAAATGTGGTTTTGTCTCCCAGACGACTTCTCATCACTTTGTTGTTACTAATTTGCTGTCCTTAGCTGTAAGCACTTATAAGGATAGCACAGAATCTGAGTATTATGCCCAGCCAAAAAGTAACACATGTGCGCGTGTCGATTCTTCGCAGTCTAGTGTATAAAAATATGCACGAATATATAAGTGGCAGGAATGCAGACTATCCAAATTGTGGCTGGCGACAAATAAAAATTTCACTCTCAACCAGCCTTTCAGTAGATATGTATAAAAAGGCTGCTCTGCTGCTGCTTCTGTGCACCTGCCAAAAGCAAGAATACTTAGGAGATACTTTTAATAATAAATTTAAAAAAATAAGAAAATTCGAACATTTTTTTTTTCTTTTCCAAACATTTGCCTTAGGGCTGCACCGGCGAAACAATATGCGAAAATTGCGTAAAAATCGCTAAAAATACTAGTCAAAGAATTTCATTAATTTTCTTTTATTAAATGTATATATATATGTATATTTTTTTTTCAAGCTCGTCCCAATGTAACACACCTCTACATGATTGGCCGTTAAAAAGGTCATCAAGTAAAATAAGATCGTTTTAAAGTTCAAATATATGTATGTAGAATACATTCATGCTTATACATATAGACACACGAATTTTGCTTAATCTCACATCTTTCAAAGCGCAAAAATCTAAATTAAATGCACAATGCACATAAGCAGTAGATGATAAGATAAGTATTTAGTATGAGTGATCAACACTTCAACCGTTTATAGTAGCGATTTTCACGCATTTTCCATATACATACATAGTACATATATATGTATGTAGACTAGTAAATATGTACATTTTCACAACTACTATGTATAGTTTGCAACCCGTCAAAACAAAAACTTAACAGCAGACTTGCGCGTGCATTCCTCCTTCGGTCGTTCGTTCAAGTTGAACGCCACAAATATACAAGCCGCCAACAAAAACAACAATCGTTAGCAAATACATGCGAACATTTATTAAGTTGTAAATGTAAATGTAAAAGACAAAAATTCGCGACAACAAAGAAATCGAAGGGCACTTTCGGCATTATTGAATGACTTTACTTCGTTATATTTTTTTTTCTTTTTATTTCTTTCTTTTTTTTTAATTTTTAAAATTTTTTTTTTTTTTTTTGCTATTCTTTTGTATGTTTTTATTCTCACTTCTTACTGCTGCTGCAAAGAATTTTGGCACTTTCTATAAACAATTTCACTTTTTCGTGTAATATCAGCGGCTGTTCAACGAGTAGAATTTCTGAAATTTGTTAAATATTTTCTTAAACAATTTTTTTTTTACTTTGGCGCTATCGCAACAGATACATTTATATGTATTTACGTTTATTTATTTATTTTTTCCCCACTTTGTTTAAAATTTATCAACGTTCTTTTTTCTTATTAGTTGTTACGCGCACGTCGAACGACCGTCACGCGTACATTTTGTTTAGATTCTCGAACTCAGACTGAAATTGAAAAGTCAAAAATAACAGCTGAAACGTTGAGCAGCAGGTCTCCTCACAGCGGCAAAATAACCAACCCAAGCGGATATATGTGTGTGTAGTACCCTATCAGCCACTCAGCTAGCCAAACAATCAGCCTTCCAAACTTACCATTAGTTACTGCTCTCGCCATCGATTGCTCACTTTGTTTTGATTCTCATTCGCTCTCATTGGGGACCGGCTGTTTGGTAAAACCAATGGCTGAATAGCTGATTCTCTCACCGGCGTGGAGCATTCATTAAATTGAGTTGGTTGACTTTTTATTTTTTATTTATTTTGGGGCGCCGCAATTAACTCTGGGCAACTGTTGCTTATTGTTGTTATGCGATGGATCAACATTTCTTTTCTTTATTGATGCTTTTACATATATTTGTAGATATGAATGTAAGAGCATTTAGCACTCCTTTTAACTGATATCAATGCCAAATTATCTTCTATTGCGCTTGTCACAAGACTTTCTTCAAACATGTCAAAATAAAACATCTTAAATCAACGGGTGTTAGCTTATCAGGGAGAGTGGGAGAATTTAGAAGGAATTTAGTAAAATATATGAGTAGCAAATATTTGACATATTTTATTGTGGCAGTCAAATTGGTTTATTATGATACAATTTTAGCGATGTTTCTTACAGGGCGCTGAATTAGGTGAGTGGAGTATAAGCGTTTAAAGAGAGGCGAGAGTGCATAGATTTTTTACTGATCAGATGGTTGAAAGAGAACAAACAAAATAATGTATAAAAATATTTAAGAAAACAAATGAAGATCCAGAAAAAATACAATGAATTGAATAAGTGATATTAAAAATTTATTTAAGTTAATGACGTTAAATGAAATGATATAAAATGGAAAAAATAGAAAATATTAAAAGAATGAAAATAAAAACAAAAAATTAAAAGAGGTAATATAAAAAATAAAAGATTAAAAAAAGAAAAGAAAACAACAAATGAAATACGGGGAAAATTAAAATTATAAAAAATAAATGAAAATAATGAATTGAAATAAAAAGCCATATTTAAGACTTAAATTAAAGTTAAATTAATTAATAAAAAAAAAATAATCAAAATAAAGAAATAAAATAAAAAAAATTAATTAAGAACTAAAAAATGAGGTTAAATTAATTATCATAAAACTAAATAAATTAAAAATTAAAAAAAAACTTAGTAAATCAAGATAAGATATAAAATAAAAAGAAATTAAATCAAAAAAAAAAAAATTATGTAAAAAGTTGATATTTAAAAATCAAATCAAATTAACAAAGTTATATATATAGAATGAAATAAAATAATAATATAATGCAATAATTAGGATATAAAATGAAAAATAAGCAATTAAAAAAATTAAATGATCTTCAACAATAATTAATAATTAAGTGATAAAAAAAAATATTTCTGACTAAAAAAAAATTAATATAAAACATAAACAAAAATAACATTCAATAATTAAAAATATAATTAAGAAATGAAATGATACTAAAATTAATTAAACTGTATTAAGTTAAGTAAATTAAATATGATAAAATAAAACAAAATAAAATTATATAAATAAAGTAAAAATACAAAAATTATATTAAAAGAAAAATTAAATAAACTTAAATATAAAATATATTAAATAGAGTAAAATAAAGAAATTTTAAAAGATTAAATGCTTAAAATAGTACATTAAATTAAAGTGAAAAGTTATTATTGAAATAGAAACTAAAATTAAAAAAAAAATGTAAAAACAAAATAATACAAAATGAAATAAAATAAAGTTTAATGAAATAAAAATTGTTAAGTTTATTAAATAAAAAATTAAATCAAATTAATTAAAATTATGTATATAAAACAAAATAAGAAATAATAATAAAAATAAAAAATATGCAGTGATATAAAATAAAATAAATTAAAATAGAAAGTAAAGAACAAAAATAAATTAACTAAAATGATTAAAAGAAAAATAAAAAAGTTGAATAAACTAAAAGAAAACTAAATATAACAAATTAAAAGGGAGTGAAATAAATTTAAAAAATATACAAATACGCGAAACAAAATTATCTATCCGAATGACAGATTAAAACATTTGAGCTTAAATTGATGTCAACCTTCATTATATCGGATGTGTCGGACTATCCTTAGATATATAGTTTTCTAGTTTTTTTATTTCAAACATTGTATGCAAGACCAATGGTTGCATAATGCTTTAATCTGTTCTCTGATTACTACATTTCTTTGCACAGCGTAATTTATTTTTTTTTTTGTAGCTTTAAGTTGGCAATATCAATTTTTAGTAAAAAAAAAAACATTTTATTAAAAAAAGCAAGATAATTGGAGAAACCGAAAATTAATTGGATGGACATACATATGTATGTTTATTTCCAGAATTTTATTTTTATATTGTCAATACGGTTTGCTTAAATAATAACTGTACTTTAAACATCAATCCTGGTATGGTCACGTATGACGAGATTTCCTCTGACGTAAATGTGTTCAATCCATTTATCCACAAGGCAAGGTCGTTATTTAGAATCTTATTAATTTAAAACACATGAAATATAAAATTATGACTCACCAAGTAAAAGCAACAAAAATAATATGAGTAATGAGATATTACAATCATTTTTGATAATGCATACATAGATACGTGCCTGCATATGAACAGGCACATACCTAGCTATTTTGCATAGATATTTATGACTAAAGTTATGGAATTTAACACTGCACATATAACACATACATACATAGGAATGTTAGTAAATAAATATCGAGAATCTTGATTCCCCTCAATTGATCTTGTTATCACAATATTTCGATGCATGCGAGAGAAAATCAAAACCATTAACACAATCGTCACGCTGTAAGTGTAATTAATTCTCTTTCATAAGCGCTGAATACAAGCACACGCATCTATTGGTAAGCTCATATACGCAATTTCATTGCATATTTTTAGGCTCGTGTAAAATGAGTGAGGAGCAAAATAGTATTAACTTCAACCAAATAAATGTTTACTTTAAAATTTATGGAATTTAATAACATTCGTAGTATTTGTTGATATATGTATGTAATTGGGTATATAATCAAAAGAAATTGAAAATAATTAAAACAAATAATATGTAAAAAAGGGGAATAAATTAAGTTGCAGTTCATAAGTTAAGATCAAAAAATATATTTTAGTTTAAAAAAAAAATTATTTTTATTTTATTTATTTTTTAATTTCAGTGCTTTTCTAAAACCAGTATTTATTTTGGTAATTAAAAAATGTTTTCACATTCCATTTACATATCATACCTTACTTCATCTGCTCGTAAAATGAGCTTGTTAGAAAAATTACATAACAACAACAGCAGCACATAAATTTAATAGTTATTGAGCGGTTTTGTTTAATTGGCATTCCTTATCGGCAACAGTGGAGTATGGATTAAACTTAAAAGAGCAATCGGAAATTATGTGCAATAAGCTTATCAGCCAATGCTGAGTATTTAATTTGTCCGTTTAAAATAAATAACAACAATAACATTAACCGTTTATTTTTATTCTTGTGACATTGACATACATATGTATGCATATACTTCACTTGCTGATAAGGTGACACCGAAATGAGTTTTTCTATTTTCTTACGAGTTCACTGATTCCAAATTGTAGTATATATTTAGAAGAAACATTCGTGGCAAGGAAGAAAATTTTTAAAAACTTCAATTACTAACCTGTAAAGTGTATTTAACTTTGCTGCGAAAAATCAATTTGCTCATTACCCTCATTGTAATTAAAGATGGATGGCGTAGTTTTTATGGCTTACATTTAGTCTTGAACACTTTTTGAACACAAATTCACACCGAAACTATTACTACAATTAAATAATTAATTTTAAAACATCATTTTAGACAGCAGCCGCGTGCCAATGCACGCTTACAACTGTGTGGTCACCTTTTAGTTTCACCAATTAAAAAACATGCTTTTCGCGTTAAAGACTTATAAACAAGTGCACAAAGCGGAAGCAGAAAAACATTTTTTTCCTAAAGTCTACAACAAACGAATAACAACAACAAATTTACATTAATTTTGCACTTCTTTAACTTTTTCCAACACGTGCTATTATAAAATACATTATTTTATTAAAAAAAAAAATAAATAAAAACTGGTTGCAATTGCCGACTTGTTAACGTGCGGTTTGCTATAAATTTGCATAACCAGTTAAGACACGCGTTTGCACGCCCAAACAACTTTTGTTTGTTATGAAAATAAATATTATTTTTAATTTAAGCGCCATTAAGTCTCAGACGACAAATTTGTATGTATTTTCTCACGCCCACCAAGCTCCACTAATTTAATATGTCTATTTTTGTATGTGAAACTGAGAAAAAGAAACGGCAAACCGCTCGCATTTTGATAATTACAAAATGGGAGAATAAGAAACAATGATTTGAATTAATTATTTTTTTTTTATTTTATATTTTTTTTTCATTTTTTCATTTTTTTTTTCATTTATTTCATATTTTCATTTTTTTTTTTCTTTTTTTTCATCTTTTTTTTAATTTTTTTCATTTCTTTTTTCATTTTTTTCACCATTTTTTCATCTATTTTTCATTTTTTTCATCTTTTTTATTTTTTTTTTTCATTTTTATTATGTGTTTCATTTACTACTGTTTATTGACCGCGCTTGTTTTTAAAAATTTTATAATTAGTGGAGAAAATGTGATTTCTTTCTTTATTTGCTATGAAGAAAGCACAAATAGAGAAGCAGAAATAAAACAATTGGTTTATTAGTGGGTAAGTAAGAATACAGCACATATTTACATACATATGTATGTATCTATATCACACTGATGATACGTGTGTAATTTTGCCACCCAATTGGTAAACGAACAAACCAACCATATAAACAAAGAAAAGTAGGGTAATGCAAAAATGGCAAACAAATAAAGTACAAAAAAAAAAAATCATAAAAAATGTTTGCAAACTAATGTGCAATAAAGTCAAAGATACAACACAAACGGTAGCCATGTGGAAGTTGCATTTTCTCAAGCTACGCAATAAAAGCACACCAAGTGGCTATAAACCAACGCTTGCTAATGACAACAGCAAAGTCTGGCTTTGCAAGGCGCGGTTAAGAGCAGATTATCTGCACACGTCTGGTATTGCGTGTATTGTGCTGTACAAGTCACAAAGTAAAGCAAAACATTATTTCATTATAAGCGCTTATATGACTCATTTCAAAGCTGGAGAAATAAAATTGCGAAGCATAAATAAGTAAATGACGAATTAATAGCAGGAAGACAAACATACATACATATATAATATATGCATTTGTATGTAATTGTGAAGCTTAATATGTAAACAGCTAATTGGAGTTAATGAACTTTTGAAATTAATTTGAGAATTATCCAAATGCAGTTTTCTAGAATATATAATTATATATGGACATTAGTAAGACAATTATAAGCCACTTACCTGTATTTCTAGTAAAAGTTCCTGCTTTTTTCGACGCAGCTCAATTAACAATTTTTGTTGTTCAGGCGTTAGTTCTGCAAGAAAGAAATTCGGTTAGAAAAATATAAATAATTGAATTCAAAATAAAAAAAAAAATGAAAATAGCAGCATTGTTAAAAGTTACAGCTGAAGAGTTGTAAAGTGTGTCAGCTGGCATAAAAGTAGGGTAGGTATTTTTATTTCCTATAATTTTTTTGGCATAAATTTAGTAATTAATTTAAATTTTTTTTAGCAACAAAACAAATTAATTCTGCTCGGAAGTGAGAAGTCTGTTCTTAAATATTTAAATAATTTAGGTAATATAATATAGGTAATATAGAAAACTGTTAAAACGTATCATACTCAAAGGACGAACAAAAATTAAACAACATTGCAGTTTAAAAATCATGTTTTTGAACATTACAGAAAATAATTTAAAAAAAATGTGGAGAAACTGAATAACTATTGAACAACACTTTCATATTATTTTCGTTGATAAGATGTAACATAGGTATAATCATGCTTTGCAAAACATATTTACCCATATTTTTACAAACGCTATCACTCGTAAATATTTTTTCATTTAGCACATTTTATAGCTTTCGAAAATTCCATCTAATTTTATTTTATTTATCAATTTTGCACAACAGATGCCTACACACGCAGTACTTATGTGCGTCTAGTTCTTTTGTGTAATTCACTTTCCTAATACCTTCGTTGTTGAGCACAAATTAGGTAAGCCACCTCCCCAATTTGCCAATTAAGCCAATTGGTAAATGGCTTTAGATGCCACATATAGCCTAGAACTAATTTGTTGTGTTCAATAAATATGCATATGGATATTGAGAGACAAGCGGTATCCCGCTGAAAACTCATTGACATTTTCTTTAACTTCAAAGTAGGTAAATTGCTCAACAGGAATGTAAGCGATGACTGAAGGAATGATGTCAATTGGTGAGCAATGCGTACACAATGAGAAGCTGTTTGTAATTTAATTATTTCAATTATGCATTACTTTAATATTATAACTTTATGCTGTTTAATTGAGAAGACATTAATTTCATAAAGTTGGGTCTGGAGAGGTGCTGTACTTTGCTGGACTTTCACCTGGACAAATATAACGTCAACATAACGCCTTGCATTCGATTTGTTGCATATACATACATAGGTTAGTATGTATGTACATTTGTTTGCATACAAACATACATACATACATAACATCACAAAGATACAATTGGTTGTACTCGAGACGCATTCTTTGCTTTGGAATTTCTAACAATTAATTAATTATTTGTATTGTTGTATGCAGTTCATTTCAAGAGTATTTTCATTTTTTACACTCCTTACTTTACACAATTCGTGCCACTATTTTCATTACTTTTTTTTCTTCATGTATTTACCTGGCGTTGTGAAGTCACTTCGACCAGCGGTGGATGCTTTTGAAATCGCACCATACGAACGATTATCCATCGCACTGATCATTTTAACTACCGCACAGCTTTATTTACCGCATAATTTTCAAATTTAATTAATTATTTTCATTATGTATATTCACAATTTTCACACACACAAAACATAAAAATTATATGAATGAGTTGAACACAAATTGGAAGTTTTTTTTCGTTGCACGTCTCGACGCGTTTTATGATTTTTCCTTTATTCCTTACTTCTTATTCAACACATAGAGAAAAGTCAAAATGTGGCAGAGCTACCACTTGTTTCGCATGCAAAGCAGAAATTTTCTTCGAATTTCGCCAGTGTAAAGCTGCCTAGAACTACAAGAGGACAGGAATTTTAATAAAACATAATGTGTATTTTAATAAAAACACGAATTTCTTTTTTATATTCTTCAAAATACTAAAAATAAATAAAAAAAAAACATAAATTTACTATGCAGCTGAAACTCTTGTACTTATGTCATTTGTGGTCTCTGTATTGCCGAAACAGGGGGCACAATAAATAAAATTTTTAGAAATATTAGGCAACAAAGCGTTTCAAGTAATGTATTTTTCTCAGCTGTAAAATTTTTAAAATTCATAATTAAACTGTAATCCAAAGCAGAAAAAAAGTACATAGAAAATAAAATAAATAAAAATTATTTCATAATTGTTTTTGCCACTATTGGTTCGCTCGTGGGGAACTTCGAAACAGCTGTCACTTCTACCATTTTTCTTTATTGTAAAACAAAAAATATTGGATTCACACAACAAATCACAAAAAAAAAACTAATGTCTTTATATTTTTTTAAATATTTGTTGAAATACTTTATATTTTCTTCGTCGTCGGATGACAAATGGAAAAATGATGCCGATTACTAGAGCGATTCTAGATCGCGAGTATTGAATGTTTTGTGTTATGTAGGAAAGTACCAGAACTGAGTACGGGCTTATGTGAGGTATATAAGGTAGCGGCTAACACGACAATGAGTCAGTAACAAAGTAAATTGGCTAGTTGCAACATCGGTGCAAGGAAAAAAAGTAGTAACTTAGAATGGTAAGAAAGGTCGTCGTGTGTAGTGAAGCGTTTTTTTGTTTTGGTTAATAAATAAATTTTGAAGAGGGGTTTTTACGGTGAAGAAATTGTACCAAAAATTTGGCGAAGAAGTTCCCTATTTTTATATCTCCGGTACTCATGAATATTTCTAATAAGAAAAACAAGTTTCCGATTACATTTTTGACGCTAATACATATTTTTTTAACAGTTTCACAGTTTTTAACAAATCTTTTTAGCTTGCCGCTTTTGCAATGTTTTTTATGACATTGCACTCAAAGAAAATTAATCGGTCTTCTATCCACTGTACGACATTTTTATGTAAAAAAAAATTTACTAGCTAAGACAACGCATCAAAAACGATTTAGGTACAGCTTGGCGGTGATGAGCTACAGAACTCGAAATTGATTGGAAATTTAACTTACCACAGATAATTATTTACGTTTTCACTCATAGACGGCGCAGTCAGCTCAAAAATGAGAGCACAGACGCAAACCATTTTTCCCAAAGGCAAAAAATGAGACCCAAGTGGAGTTGCCACACTTACTTACTTAGGTTTTATGTAATTATAGTGCAAAATAATCTTAACTATTTTAATTATGGCTTTAGCCAAAATTAATAATCGAAAATTTTCATTCATTAACTTATTTAGCTCCTCTTGCTCTCTTCTTCCAAAGCATGCGCATGCATTGCAGCTTTATGTGCTTGAAACTCCACATATGAGTTTGTTTTGAAAGACTTTCGCTGCTGCTGCTCGCCTTTTGCGCAGCGCTGACATTCGTATATAAATTTACCCGGATGTTTGCCTGTTTTGAGCACATGCTTGCGTAGATTGTCAAAGGTACTGCAGCGGAATAGGCAGTGTGGACAGCGGAAGGGTTTCTCGCCGGAATGTGTGAGCATATGACGTCTAATGTGACCTTTAATGCGCGCTTTGAATTCACATTTGTCGCAGGCATACAATTTAGTTGGAGCGAGGTGTGTGCGTGAGTGCCTGTAAGGAATGAAAGAATGAAAGTCAAAAGGATATTGACACTTTTTAGTTATTAATAATTAAATTTATAAATTTTTGAACAATTTGATGGGCACTTTCCCCTATTACAGCCAGTAACAGTTGTCAAAAAGACCAACTCCAATATTTGATTTATACCCAGTTTGATTTGCCATTTCATACTGAACAGGCTTGCTCCGAAGCAATGTTTGCAAATCGGGAAAAATTATTTCCAAAATCAATTTTCGGGGCGCTGCGTCTAATATTCGGTCGACATAATCGCACAGCAAAGTCGGTAATTGAAGCAAACATAGATCGGTTTCTAACCACGTTTACTCTAGAGTATAATACGCACCCTCAGAGATGCCGTACAGTGCGCACCGCAGACGCCATTGTTACTGTGGAGCAGAGCATCGAATAAGACCCGATGGAGTCCATCCTCCATCGCAACATTTGGAGCTGTGGTCATCAACTTTATGAAAATTTTGCGAGAAGATCTTAGTTTGCGGGTTTAAAAAATCCAACTAGAGTAAGAAATTGCTTTCATACGATTTATCAACGCTGGACTATTCTTTTGGGGGGTTATGTGAAGTCGATTGTCTGTGCAGATAATCCCGAGGCGATTGTAATCTTGGATGAGAATATTCGACGAGTTAATGCTGACATACGGCGCCAATACCTACAAAAAAATGGTGGAAGTTTGGAGATTCTCGACTGGAGTTCCTTCGAGTCAACCGCGCCTCGGAGTCAGCTGTGGCTCGAAGTTATTTTTAAAACATAATGGCAAGTCCTTAACTTTATAATAAAGCTAAAGTCTTCGCCATACCATTCTCGGTATGCGTTTAAAGTTGCGAGGCTATACTGAATTCCTACCCTTGCGTCCACGTCGTGCACCTCGGAAACGTGAGTAACCCGTGTGCAACGTGCGGTATCCAACCTGTGTGGAGCCTTGAGTCGCGGCTAATGAGAGAGGAAGCTTCAGTGGTGCCACTCCGACTTATTCGCTTTAAGGGTCCTCTGAAGTCTAATTGCAGCGTCTATTCACCAGAGGTGCGACTGCGAGCGGGCGTCGGTCTTGAAGCAAGCGGCTCGCTATATAAATGTGTAAACACTTTATCCTTACTCGCCTACCGAGAAACGTAGAAACCAGAGCCAATGAAAAAATTAGCAACGCCTTGGATGAGATAACCTCTTCCTGTTGACGACCCCAGCAAACGAATTTAGGATCACGATTTGAGGGCATGCACCTGGAATGCCAGGTCCCTGCCTAGCTAGGTGACGTCCCCGTAAGAGTAAACACTGACATCACCATCGCCCAAGAAATGCGATGGACGGGATAAGGACGAAAGCGAGTAGGTTCTTGTGACAAATAAAGGAGCGCAAATTTGGTGGTGGATTTGTGGTAGGAGAGAGACTCCGTCATCGAGTACCCGGTGGATGAGCGTCTCGTCACAATCCGCATAAAAACGAAATTTTTCAACATATGGTTGATTTTCAACCATGCCCCGACGGCAGAGAAGGACGATTTGGCCAAAGATGTCATTTATAAGAGCCTAGACCACAGAGCCCCCGTCGATTTCTCACAAAAAAAACATCAAGCTCTTGGCGTTCACCCCGAGGACCCAACATCGATTCGGACCATTATCTTGTTGCAGCAAAGATACGCATGCGCCTCTGTGTATCGGAGAATGCACGTCGACAAACACAAGGAAAGTTCGACGTTGAAAAGCTGGAATCACAACAGACTGTCGAATTGCGCTCCTGCTCTCTGAGAGCACTCGTTAGCAACTCGGTATACGGGAACCATGGGACGTCATTTCAAACACCCTGCAAACGAAACTATTGGATTTCGTAAATGTCGCAAAAGCAGCTGTGACAATGAGGCCTGCCGTGGCGCAGTGGAGGGAAAACAGACTGCCTACCTCGCAAACTTGCGATCGACTACAACACGTACGGATGGGATAGATACCGAGAGATAAGGAAGGAAGCAAGACGCCTATGCAGTCAAAAAAGATGCGTGAGTATGAAGAGCTTGAGAAGCTGGCCGATAAGGCTAATGCTAGAAAATTCTATGAGAAGGTACGGCGACTTACGGCAGGTTTCAAGACCGGAGCAGACTCTTGTAGGACACAAAGAGGTGATCCAGCCACCGATGCCCAGAGAATATTGAATTTATAAAGGGAACACTTTTCCAACCTGCTGAATAGCAGTGAAAATGGAGTCCGCGGAGATGGTGAGCCCTAAATCAAAATCGATGACGATGGAAAAGACGTTCCATTACCTGACCATGAAAAAGTTCGAATAGCAATCGCCCGCTTAAAAGCAACAAAGCGGCGGGAGCTGACGGCTTACCGGCAGAGCTATTCAAACATGGCGGAGAAGAGCTGACAAAGCATGCCCGACGATTGGAATTTAAGTATGCTCTGCCCAATCCTTAAAAAAGCGTACCCCACTAGCAGTCATCGCATTCGCGACTTGACTCGCACGCCACTGTTGACAGTCATAACTTTGAAGTCCTTGATAATTTCGTCTATCTAGGACCCAGCATCCAAACCAATAATAATGCCAGCCTTGAATTTCAGCGCACAATCACTCTTGCCAACAGGTGCTACTTTGGACTGAGTAGCCAATCGAAAAGTAAAGTCCTCTCCCGACGAACGAAAGTCAAACTCCACAAGTCGCTCATCATATCCGTACTGCTATATGGTGCGGAAGCATGGACGATGGCAAAATCAGACGGCGTTAGAAGCTTTTGAGAGAAAAGTTTTGTGTAAGATTTATGGTCCTTTGCGCATTGGCAACGGCGAATATCGCAGAAGATTGAACGATGAGCTGTACGAGTTATACGGCCACATTGATATACAATAGTTCAGCGAATCAAGAAGCAGCGGCTAGGTCAGGCAGTTTTTATTGTTGCGAATACTCCATCTTAGAAAGTTTTCAATGCAGTACCCGCCGGTGGAAGCAGAGGAAGAGGAAGAGGAAGACCTCGTACAGCTGAAATGCCTAGTTACTTAATTGCAAAGGGACCGCTGCAAAGCTGGTAGATATTCTCGTTGAATTTTGAGTCTTAATTCACCGCTGTCCACTATAGACGAAAGAAAATGCTGAGATCACTCGTCAACAAGTATAATCGTAGCAGAAAGCCAAATGGGTTTCTCCTCGGCAAAGTCGAAAAGAGGGATAAATCACGAGTAATAGAGCGTACACTTGAAATTTCAGCTAAGTGGACTGAGAGACAAGAACTCACTGTAATCCCAAAGCAAACTCAGCTTTGCCTCTTCACGAGGAAGAAAATATTCACGTAATCAAACAACCTGCCTTAAGAGTAAAGATGTAGTACCCTCCGACTGGATCAAATAATAATAAGTAGTTCGTGATGAAAAACTAGACTGAAGGTCTTATAAAGCGCTCCGAAGTTGGAATACCAACGGAATGATCATTGCCAAGTTGTTGTATTGGCTCTACAAAAGTGTTATGAGAACCATACAAATACATATGTAAATATATGGAGAACTAGTGTGAGTGGGTTTGGAACAGATGCAACAGGTCATCCACAACCTGTTTCTTGATGAAAGTCCTTAATATTGGGTACAATTCCGCAGGTGCGAAGGAGCTCGGACTAATATTTTCTAGTATGAAAGAATGGACAAGATCAAGGCAAGCAAAGCTAAATGAGCAAGCGTTTTAACGGGATAATCTATCGGATTTCTAGTAGACAGCCAAGCCAAGACACAAAGTCCAAATGTGTGAGAACATGCAAAGATGAAACTAACGGACTTTTGCGGATTACCATCGACTGCCTCAGACTCTTTAGTCTCATCAATTGATAATGTAAGCAGTCGACCAGAGAGGAATACTTAAGGTATTGGAACTCCTCCAACATGGCACGTACCATTTAGAGCCGCATAATAGCTAGTGCACTACCTTAGCCAGGGCCCAAACTGCAGCCGATTAAGACGTCACACATCTGTCGCACGAAACTTACGGAGCTGAGGACTCATTGTTAGACGGCAATGAAAAAAATTTATAAAATTTCACAAACGCATATTTGGGATAAATGGGAGAGTGCACTCAACGACTTAGGTATAGCCACTTGCGGTTAGGTCCTCAACTTTTCACTTTCAACCAACCAACCATAAAGACCTAGATAAGCTGGTTATAAAATTATCTAAGAGACGTCTTATAGAAGTTTTCCAAAACCCGCATAGTTTGAAGCTTTGTTAGTCGTAGTGAATGTGAAAAGTAAAACGGCAAGAGACGGTGAAGAAGATTGCCAAAAGCAACGTCAGAATTGGGAGGAACCTCTTCGAGTTGTTAGGACTTAATGAGGTTTCAGACTAGTTTATTTTTATCATTATATCAATCTTATGTTGGAGAAAACCAACATTAGCACCAACAACATTGCCTGCCTAGAAAACCAAAACCTCTGGCCAACTGGTGGTACCTTGTACTGAGACAACCGCATACAGTGACTTGCAATAATTATCTGCTTAATTCGCTACTTATTTTAGTCACCTTGGCGCTATCCACTTGGACCTTTCACTGCGCCCATACTCATCTTCACACAAAGCGCGCACCTTTGGTGGCAGTGCCAAGAGCAGAGTAGGCCTAAATCCAGCAGATAAGCTTTGGAAGGACGAGAAAAAAAACTCAAAGGCATTATTGCAATGCGCGCGGAAAACGGCTGCGTTGCATGCATAAATTGATGGGCAAACATTTACAAGTTTACCCAAAGAAAAAAAGAAGAAGAAATTGAAAGAAAAATCAAGAAATGAACACAAAAAGCGTAACAAAACGCCAAGAAATTCAGCAAATCGCAGCTGCCGCCGCGCTACTGGCATTGCTACATCGCATAATCGTCGGCGGACGTCGGCTGTTGTTAGCTGATCGCGCTGTCTTAAAGCAAATCTACAGAACGAAATTTATTTTAAACAAAAAAATGGAAAAAAGTCGAAAAGTAAGAAAACAAATAGAAATTTTAACGACGCTCAAAGCTCAAG